GTCACAGGGGCTCTGCCACGTTTTGAGGGGACGCTATTTTCAACATATTTATACACTTTCGTTCTAGTTATTGAAAGTGTGTATGTCATTGGGATCTCCCCCTCCTGATGTTTCCCAGTTCTGGCTCTCCACCTGTGTCCCTTTTCCCATCTCTCTCTGCTCCCCACTTCCTGGTGGCTCTGTTTAGCGCCCGCTCCCACCCACCCCACGCACTCAAAGCAGCTCTGTCTCCCCCCAGCCCCACCCCCTGCGGCCAGCCCAGAAACTGCCGCCCTGAGACAGAGAGAGAAATTTAATTCAACAGCCCAGCATAGAAATGGCCCATTTGTTCACCCTGCTGGGTGGCTGCTGGGTGGCTCCAGCTTCTCCCAGTCCCCAGGCCTGCAGCCCACCCGCGCTTTGAAGCTCCCTGGCTGACTCCCTCACACACTCCGCAACTTTTGTGGGAGGGGAGCCCCTGGTGGGACCATGGCCAAAGGTGGGGGGGGTTGCTTCCTCCACCTGGCTGCAGCAGCCCAGCACCCTGAAGCAAGAGGAGCTCAGGTGTCCCAGGGTGAAGCAAGGCAGCGGCTCCTGACTTGAAGCTGATACAGGGGGGCGGATGCAAGGGAAGAAATTCCCTGGGAGCTGCGGGGGGGCTGGATGGATCCAGGGGAAGGAAATCAATCCTTCCTGATGTGGGGAGGGGACGCTGATCTGCGGGGCAGGGGATAAACTTCCTCTCCGGGAGGAAAAGCCCCTCAGGCAGGCTTGATGGGGGTGGGGGGGTGATCTGGGAGGTGGGGTGGGACAGCTTTGAGCTGGGCAAGCCTTACTTTCCCAGGCATGAGAGCCGACCATGGGAAGAGCCCGTGGGGAGGATGTGGCTAGAAGTACTGGTGGTGCGTTGCCCCCTCCTATCCCCCCACGCACGGGGAAGGGATGCGGAGCCCCGGGACCAGGGTCAGAACCGTAGGGGTTGGGAGCTCCCAGAGCCCGCGTGGCAGGGGTCCGGGCACAGGCAGGGTCCGGGCTGGGGGAGGCGGCTCATTTGCACCTGGGGCTGGGGTTAAGCCCCTCTCACCTTTGGCCATGGCCGAGTGCACCCGACTGGCTGGACGGAGCACGGGGAGGGGGCGAGCTGCTGGCCCAAGCCCAAGTTCACTCATCAGACACAAGGGCAAACTTTTCTTAAAGGAGCCACGTCCTTTGATTTGTCCCACTGCCCAGCACTAAGGGGGTCCGCAGCTGGTTTCTCCTGGCTGGAGGGGAGCACAGGTCCTGGGGGAGACACCAGGGTGGGCTGAGAATGGCTGGCTCGGTCCTCAAGAAACCCCCCGGCCCGTACTCCCCCCAGCAGCATCCTGGGGCCAGCCGAGAAGCTGCCTGCCTGTCTCCCCCAGCCCTCTGCTGAGAGTCTGTCCACCCCATCTCCCTGCCCACCCCATCTCCTCTGCCCTGAAAATTAAAAGGACTCACACCTGTCTGTGGTGGGAGCCCGCTGGGAGCTTCAGCAGCTGTTGGGGAAACAGCTGATAGGTGGGGACTTTGCACCAAACAGCTGATTGGCAGCAGCCAGCCAAAGAACTGACCAGTGCTGCTGCACATGCTAAATAGCTGATTGGCAGTTACCAACAGCTGATCTCCCCGGTGGGTGCAGAGCACCCACTAATTTTTTTCCGTGGGTGCTCCAGCCCTGGACAGCCACAGAGTCCGTGCCTATGATACCAACCATGGTGCTGACAAACCAGCTAAAATGTGTATGATCCTTAGAGGCTTAACAAGAGGCATTGCCATTGTAATCAGGACTATTCACTTGGGTGTGAGAGCTGGACCAACGACAGAAGACACTGGGCTGCACGTTAGGGTTGTCGATGACGACAGTGCTGGGATTCGTTGAGCTGGTGCTCGTGGAATTCAGCTCACTGGTTGGATCGTTAGCTACCCTGACTGCTGTCAGGTACTGGCGGGTGATGCGACAAGGACGCTGATCTAGATGCACAGTTATATGCCACCACGTGTATCCTCTCCGGCACCCTGCGTCCGACTCCACTCCCATGGCTCCCAGTTCTGAGCAATATCGCTCCTCCCCATATCAGATGAGTTACTGGAGAAAGTACGCACCAACCCAAGCCTGCCGCTGCACAATGGCCTTTTTAAACCGTCACGTCACCCATTATGGTCTCATCTGCCACGGCAGTATGTTAGGGCGGAAACACTCTGGCGAGAGGAATGGATCTGTTATAATCCCCAACCAGTCCCTCGTCACTGACCCCACAATTTGCCCACCTGGTTTTCACCTGCCCCATCACCAATGGTCCTTGTTGAACAGGTTCTGAACCAGGCAAGGTCTCTGTGCAGCCAACCAGTATCGCTGGGGCCTTCGTGACAGCCCTTTATGCAAAGGTGAAACACAGACGATGATGCACGTTGTCGATGAATGCCTGCTGACTAGGTTCAGCGGTGTCCTAGAAGAACTGCATCGCACCACTGAAGATGCCAGCGCTTGGCTAGACGACTATGCACACGCTAAATAAAAACTTAGGTGTGAGTATCAAAGAAATGTTAATTAGACTAGCAATCACCAACATCCATTTGTAGTGAGAAGGATCCAGGGTAGATACTTAATATATGTGTCTGTTTACCTACATCTGCAGGAAGTGTGTCAAAGTAATCAAATTAGTCTGTAGTTGCTAAATCCATTTCATGACTTAATACGCTATATTACTGTACTCAATTGTCTACAAGATCAGAAGGGCTGGTTAGCATTTAGATGGAGCTCGGGAAGTAATAATGTTATTGTCCTCATCTCTCATTGAAACTTGTGATTCCACTTTGTGAACCAACTGTAAACCATCTGGGTAGTTTAAATGGCTGTAACTAAGGGCATTAGCTGTGAATCACCCATTGAATAAGGATCACAGAGTATCGGTGTTTGTTCTCATCAAAGCCCCCTGGTGAAGTTGCCTGGCAGCAACTCTACAGCTAAATGTCATTTGGTATCTAACCTTTTGGATGATCCAGAAAGACTCATTGCAAACTAGCAGAACGACCATCTCTGCTATGATCCAGATCTACAGACTCTAAATCAATTGTAATGTAGATGATTCTTTTATCCATTTACTAACTCTCTTCTTTTCTTTTTTATTAATAAACCTTTCATTTTTAGTTACTAAGGGAATTGGCTGCAGCGTGATTTTTGGGTAAGATCTAAAGTATCTATTGACCCGAGGACAGTGGCTTTGGGATTGGAAGAACTTTATATGTGATTTCTGGTTTTAGTAATCATTTATCACAAAAGACCAGTTTGGGTGGACAAGCCAGGAGCTGGAATACCGAGAGGGGATTGTGCTTTGGCTTCCTGCTAACCACCGTGGGAATACAAGAGCTCATTTTGTTACTGTTTTGGTGAATCTAATTAGAGAATAAACCACCAGTTTTGGGGGTGTATCTGGCGTGTCCCGAATTGGGCATTCTCAGTGGTGATTCATACCATGGCAAGAGTCATACCAGTAACAATTCTACTGTCACCACTTTGGGAGGAAAGTCAGATACAATACATTGATTACAGTAAAATCCGGGAGATTTCTAAAAGAAAAATGACTTACATGAAGAACAAATATGGTAATTTTTATACACAGTTTGCACCTGATGAAAACAGCTCTGATGTGACAGATGCTGGACATTTTAGTTTGAACTCAGTGCATCTCAAGGGGGTTTTCCATATGATCCGTTCATTTTTATTTCATATTCCTGGTATTGACAGCGTAATTCCCACCCTGGCAGTTAGATTATTTACTTGATGGTATAACGGGGGTGGAAGAGATGATCTAGCGGGAAATGTCGTGCATGATGGAATTCAGCATCATTCCTATATTTGTCAGCAATCCTACATTTCTCATCTGTTTTTGCCTTTACATCCTATATTGGGCAGCAGACACAAGGGAACTGACTGGGCTTTCAGGGCTCTTTTCATTTTAAATTCATATGGAAACCAGCTTTTTGTTTCTGTCTCAAAATACACCTCCCACAGCAAACCAGTGCTTTCCAGAAACTTTTAACAGACAAATTTATCTCTCAGGTCCATTAAAACTAACACAATGGTAAACATGACTTGGGTGCTTTTGAAAATGCCACCTGAAGTTACTTAGCAGAACAAGTTCCACTGAAAATCGATGAGTCCTACGTCACTTTGCTTCTTTTGAAAATTCCAGCCTTCACACCTCGTACACACACTAACAGTCGTATTTAAATATATATTAGCTGGTTGTGGCTAAATAACCATCAGCTAACATGATTTTTAAACACCCCTGTTCCCCCCCAGCATCTTCAGCCAGGCCTTCCCCCCTGCTCTCCCCCCCCCACAGCCCCTTCAGG